AGTTGGGATGGTCTTCTCAGGCTTGCAAGCTTCCCCCTTTTTCCTCCAAATGTAATGATGGTCATTACAGCCAAACACTTCAATTTAATTTCATCAGACCACAAGACGTCTCCAGAAATGAAGGTCTTTGTCCCTGTGTGCGTTTGCAAACTGTAGTCTGTCTTTTTTATCTTGCTTTTGGAGTAATGTCTGCTTCCTCTCTGAGTAGCCTTTCAGCCCATGTCGGTACAGGACTGGTTTCACTGTGGATAATGACTCTCTTACCAGCTTCAGCAGCATCTTCACAAGGGCTTTTGCTTTTGTTCTGGGGTTGATAGGCACATTTTGAACCAATTCATCTCTGCGACACAGAACCCGTCTCCTTCCTGAGCGGTATGATGGCTGGACATTCCCATGGTGTTTATACTTGTGTATAATTGTTTGAACAGATGAAGGTGGAACCTTCAGGCATCTGGAAATTGCACCCGAGGATGAACCAGACTTGTGGAGGTCCACAGTTCTCTTCCTGATATCTTGGCTGATTTCTTTAGATTATTCATGTTGTCACAAAAGGAAGCAGTGTGTTTGAGGTGTGCATTAAAATACATCTACAGGTATTCCTCCAATAAATTCAATTTAAAACTGGAAAAGTTTAGCCTGATTTAATGTCAGACAGACAGAACATATATATACAGCAGTTTTTGACATTTTATATGATATGATCAACTGAGAATTTTTTTGGCAGATTAATCAAGTGAAAATAAACCTCTATCTATGGCATTTGGCATATCATTCTCATTCTAGAAATCAAGAGCTGTGCACTGGAGAAAAATGTAATAAAAAGTACAGTCTAGTTAAATCCTATGTAATAACAAAATGTTTTTGCTCAAGATCAAGTGTTGTGATACAAGTGGCAGACAATACAGTTGTGTGTGCACAGTTCACAATATGCATGTGTACAGAGGTGGCTGAGGAAGGAAGTGGTAGTGCTGAAAAATGTCCTAAACATTTAGGTATGTGTGCAAAGAAGGGTGGGGTGTTCATTTCGAAACTACAATTTTGCAAGCTATTGTAAGCTTTGAATAATAGTAGTTTAATTTCTATGAATTCATAAACCATAATTCATTTGTTTCAACCTGGCGTTTAATCACCACAATGCACCCAAAGTTCTAAATGTTTATAGGTTTTCACTTTCCTAACTCTTAAAAATGGTAAACAGACAATTTGCTGGCTGCTAATTTTTACAGACTTAGCTACAGTTAACAAGATTAATGCTCTTAATTGTCGAACATGTGTTAACAATAACTACTATTCCTGTATGCATAAAAAAAAATAACTGCTGAGAAATTACTTTACATGCCGATTTTCTTCTTTTTTCTCCTTTGCACCTGCATTTTAATCAATGGTTTCCATATGACCTAACGCATGTTGTAGTTATTTAAATCAAAAAGACAACAATGAAATAGTAATTATATTTCATTTCTTCACATAAATAACAGTAACCGATTACTAATAAAATGTATATTTTGTGTAAAAGAGTGTAAAGGGTTTTGGTCTATGAAATAAACTTTAACTGCTGAGTTTTTATGTATATTTAACTTTTTAGCCTTTCTATTTAAAAGTTTTAGGTGAAACAGAAAGTTGGTTGTGGATTTGGGAGGGTTTGTTAGCAAACAAAACTAATTTAAAAAAGAACATTTTGGGGGTGTTCGGGAAATGTAGTATTCTCAATAATCAAACTAATCGACATAATTGTACATAAAAACTACAAGTACCACTACAACGTTCGTCTTGCGCATGCTCATTACTAGCCAAACAGAAGGGAATAAAGTGTATGCTAGTTTCAACCGTTCAGTGGTCAGGGTTTATGCGGTAAAATCTGCAATCATCTAGTTTTATACGACGGTTACGCTTAGTTATTTTGTCCACATTATTTCAAGATATATTCAGTAACGTAAAGTTTGTAAGATTAATCAGCAGCAGACAGCGAGTGACGAAAAACACCGTATTTATCTGTAACCCGGAATCGCTGGCTACTACCGTTCGATTTAGCTAACGCTACCTAGCATTAGCAGCACAGACCGGGGCCCAGGCCCGGACTCTCACAAATAACAAGAATTTCAGGTTTTCTGTTGTAATTTTTTGGCACGTTAAAACGAAATGGCTTGTGGGGCTACTCTGAAAAGAACTCTGGACTTTGACCCGTTAATGAGCCCAGCTTCCCCTAAAAGAAGGAGGTGCGCCCCGATCATGTCTCCAGTCTCCTCACCGCAGAAATATCTGCGTATGGAGCCCTCGCCTTTCGGGGAAGTGTCGTCCAAACTAACCACAGGTAGAGAATTGACTTTTACATTTCAGTGTATTTCAAATTCAGTTTGTTTATACCATCTTCACCTGTAAAATGCACTGCGTTAGCACTTCCCCTGTTAGCATGTCTCCAGTGTGGTGCTGTGTGCACTGGGCACAGTTTCAAACGCAGTTTGGAAATTTAAATATCTGTTTAGTGCTGCTTGACGAGAAACTCATTGCAGATCATGTCATGTGAAGCTCCGCTGTCCACTTCTAAATTCAGCTTACACTGTGAAACAGCTTTTATGATTAAAATGTTTATTTTGTGTGTATTCTGACTTGGGGCAGAGAACTGGTTTTAGTAGAGGGCTAACAGGAATTATTTCTTTAAGATTAATAGATTATTATTGTGCTGATTGTTTCAAATTATTAATGCTATACTTGTGATGTCTGAAGTCATGTGTAACACAATATGTCACTGATGTCAGGTAAAAGGATCAAACCTGTCAGTTCTGCAATGGTTTTGTCTCTATACAACAGATCTCCTTTAACACACAGTACAATGTCTTCATGTGTTTCAGAGCAAATTCTACACAATATTAAGCAGGAGTACAAACGGCTGCAGAAGCGTCGACACCTGGACACTGGTTTCCAGCAAACAGATGGCTGCTGTCCTCTGGACCTGCAGAACGTTCATGGTGGACCTGCCCTACCAGGTAGCTACAAGTGGCTAGTTTTAATCAGGATATGACTAGTTCTTCCATTAACACATTTACTTCCTGTTTTAGCTCATAATTTAAAGATTAATGTGAACGTCTGTCAGCTTTTTACAACAAGGGTCTGCAGCCTTGAGTCTCTACTGTAAACATGAGCTTGTTTTTGACTGACTGCCTCAGGTCGTAGTTTCAGAGAATCGCAAAAATCGGTGCAAACTTGATATTTCAGCTAAATAACCATTTTGATTGCACTTTGTTAGTATGAAACGTTCTTCTTACCCGCCATTTTTTAATTTGATTTGGTTAAAAAAAAAATTATTATTAGGAGCTGGAATGTGTTTCTTATACTTTTATTATGATGCTTCTTGTGCTGTCCACCCTGCTGACAAAGTGAATTGGACTGATGCTCTAAAGGGTAGCGTGTTTTTAGGTACTGTCTTCATACAGTTACATACAGGGCTAAACAGTTTTATTAGCATTGACTCAACGTCGCGCAGAGGAAAACATCAAACTCGGGTCAAATGAAACTAAATATTTGTTTCCAGTATACAACTTTAAAGTTAAGGATGCTGTAAAGTCTGTATAATGGGTGATGGTACACGATACTTACGATGTAGCTATAAACATTTTTTT